ACCTTACAGCTTGCTTTTTTCCTAAGTTTTTCTTCATCTAGGGATATTATATTATAAAGTTGATAAGGAAGAAAGTATGATCGGTTTTCATTGTTTTAAGCCCCCAATATAGATGATAAATCTAATTTTGACCCAATAATCGAAATCAGTCAAAGATATTCGGAACTGCATCTTAATATGTACGAAAATTAAAACTGTTTTTACATGCTAAATGAATCTTTAAATTTTGAACCCTTATACATAGTATTATCCAGTTGACAGTGCAACAAGAAATAGCAATTCAAGTGTTTTCAGTTTCAGTTTTCAGATGGATATGTTATGTGTTTCTTCATAATTATATCCTTTAATATTTTTCATTTTGGATTTTTATTCGCAGTGTTTGAAATCTATTGGAATCAATTTGCATAAAATATTGGAATTTATTTTATTTGAATTCAATTCTTAGATGCATTTAATTTTGCTTCTTAAAATGTGACTTTGAATGGATCGTATCAAGGTGGAAATAATTCATTCAAAATGTTTCGTGTGGCTTTCACACGATGATGTACATGTAAAAGCCAAAATAATTTTGAAGTATACTTGCAGTGTGTTTCTTTGAAATCTACTAGGATTTTTGTTCATAAAAATGGTGTTCACTCAAGGAAATTCACTTTTTGAGAGATGAGATTTAGTTAATCTAAAAGTTAAAAAAATTCAAAACTTGAAAGCAAGTAGGAGAAATAAGTTCAACCAACATGTTTCTGTGGCTTTAAATGTTTAAATGTGATTTTGGATATAATCATTATAAAAATATGGATCTAATATGAAGATAACTCACCTGTTTAAATTGGATATATATCATGGAAATGAAATAAAATGTGAATACAGTGGATATAGTCAAATCTTAAGTGATAAAATGAATAATAAAAGTAAAATATCCAAATAAATTCATTACGTGAGGATAACAATTTTGAATGTGATATTTGGAATAACCATTATAAAATTCTGGATCTAAGATTTTTAATTTGGGACATATGTTATAGGAAATGAAATAAAAACGGAATAATGTGGATATAGTCAAATCAAGTGATATAGTGAAAATATAAATAAAATATTCCAAAAAATTTGTAAAGTGAGGATAAATATTTTGAATGTGATATTGGAAATAATCAAAAATTACAAAATTCTGGATCTTATATAAAGACTCTTTGCCTGTCTAATTGGGATATATATATATATATATATATATATATATCATGGGAAATTAAACAGAATACTGTGGATATAGATAAAAAATCTAATGATATAGTGAAAAATTTAAGAAAATATTCCAAAAAGTTAATAGAATTAGGAATATAGTCTAAAATTACTTCAAATAGTGAAAACTGGAATACTGGATGGGATATCAATATCAGTGTCAATAAATAAATAAATAAACCAGTTTATTCATAACTATTATTTTGCTATTTCACTATGGAAGCTCATGTCAAAACGTATTGATCAAATTTCTAAACGAAGGAATGCACACATATGTTCTTATGTTTTTTAATCTTGGAAAATTATGGAAATTATGAAATAATCAAGATTTCCACGAGAGTCAAAAGTAATATTTTGAGTTATCTCCCATTAGAAAGAGCGAATGTGAGATAAAAGCGGTCTTTTTTAACAATATAAAAGAAATACAAGCACTAATTAGTGTTTCAATATGAAAACATTAAAAGGAATTGTTGTGCATTATATGACATGCAAATTAATACCCTGCAAGAAAAAAAACATATATATTCTTGTTCTGGCTTGCTCACTCTATAAATTTGAAATGACAGTTAAATAAAAAATCTCTCCTTTTTCTTCTTAACGTTATGTTTTTTTGGAAATTGAATGGCCAACTACTTCAAGGAATACATTCATTTAAATGAAAAAGACTGTCATCACAATGTGTATTCCTTTACTTATTTTAGGATTCTCTTAAGAAAAAAGGGAAATGAAATTAAAAAAAAATCAGCAGTCTTTAGCAAATATTAGAACATTGAATAATTTTGCATATTGTGGCCATATTCTAGCTTTTTCATACCATATATACTTATATAAACGGTAGGCATGTTATGTTATTTCACAAAGATAAATGGCACATGGATAAGTTTTAAAAAACAGTGACAATTGAACAGGTAAGGTGATGGGAAAGCATCAAGGTAGACTCTAAATGCATGAGTGATTACCTATTGTCAACGCTTAACAATACCAACTGGTCAATTTAAATGTCCCAATTGCATTGTCAATTTTACAATCTGGTTGAACAATAGGTAAAGGTAAACAGCAACACCTGTAGTCAAGAAAAATTCTAAAATAAATTTAGGATTGAGAGCTCTAAACAATGCAAATTTCCATTTTTTTACATTTCCTAGGGGAATAACACTTTTAAAAATAGTTGATCGGCACTGATTTTCTACTTCGTCCAAGACATTTTCGATATAAACATTGGATACAAATTTCATAATAATTCTCGAAAGAATTGTAAGCGGTGATAACAAGATCTGACGTACGCATATACATTTCAAGGGGCATAGTTGAATACACTTACCAAGAAGCTCGCCCGAAACATTGTTGATATGAAAATGTGATATAAGTTCCCAAAAATTGGAAAGACCTGTATGCACAAGAACGCTAATAAGACAGGAAGAACGAACAGTCCATGGACGGACGTACGCAAGGTGTATCTATGCTCCCTCACCGCGTTGCACTTTGATAAGTCAACAAGGTTTAAAAAGAGGAAAACAATGACGGAATCGTTAGCATGCAAATTCTACTTTTAAATATTCGAACTTGTTATATTTATAGTTATCAATAGATATAAGAAGATGTGGTATGAGTGCCAAGACTAACATGGCATCATGATCATCAATCTAATAGCATTTATAATTGGTTTATATGCACAAAAACAATGTATTCTAGTTACCTTTTCACTCGTGTTTATCAAATAAATAAACTTTTGCTTTGAAGATATGTTTTTGAGATACTTTTAAGAGAACATGGTTGTGGCCCTGATACGATAGTAGAGAGCATTATGTTTTCCGGTCTGTTTGTGTTTCCGTCCGTCCCGTATCTGGTTTAAGGCTTTGGTTAGATGTAGTTTGTAGCATCATTAACACGAAACTTAGTATACCTATTCATTATGAAGTTAATATATATGCCAAATTTTGATTATGACTTACATTTCACGGTTTATTGAATATGGAAATATAGTTATACTTATACGAACAGGCAGTGTATCCTATGTTTGGCTTTCTTTTTCTATTTATTTCTTTGTATTCAGTTAAGTTAACATGATCTATGTGATTATTTAATTTTTGACGTTTGATTTTTTTGTTTTCGTCTTCATCTAAACATTCATTAAGATCAATATATTTTTAGGGCAATTATTTGGAATTTCTCATTTTTATTTGAGTGTCGTTAATGAGTATTTTGTAGACGTGTGTCTTGCGTACAAAATTTAAAGCCTGGTATCTATGATGAGTTGTAGCATCACACCTTTATGAATATGATTTCATTATTTAGGAAGACAAACCGGCATGACAGTCATACATCGTAATGATAAATGCAAGGTTTTATTGAGTAATGAGTCGTAGTTTACTGCCGCCTAGGTTGATTCTTTTCAAAACTGAATCGATTGAATCGATCTGCTTCCTAAATATCTTCTGTGTTTACTGTTTAATTGCATCAACAAATATATTTTTTATTTTTTACCATATGCTTATATGTCTTATCTAATGGAACCATGTTTGGTCGAAATTCTTCAGGTGTAGTTTCGTTATCAATTAATATATATACCAATTTATGACAATATGAGCATGATTAGTATCAGCTTATCGAGTATATTTACCTCTTTATTTTGATAAAGAACCACTTATTATTTCGTATAAATACAACAAAATCCAGTAGCACTTTAATTATTTAATTACAGGTCAGCTACATCAGACGTTAGTATTTTAAAAAATAATGTTCCTTCATTTTGAAACTGTGAAACATCGAATTTTAGATACGGCCATGCTTTAACGAGAGACCCCAACATCGTTCAAAATCGAGAGGTTAACGCTTTTTGAAAAAAGCACCTTGATATCTTCCTCCATCTTAAAAAGATTAGAAACGGGGTCGTCAGATCATTAAAGACGCCATTCACCTTCTTTTAATAAACAGCTGCACCAAGACCACATGATACGCCCTTATTGTGCATATTGCAATTGTTGCAAGAATATAGTGGGATCTTTCGAAGACATTTAATCATATGTTCACCAATTCCACTTAATCAATAAAATCAAACTCAAGTTAGCATGCTTAGGGTACAATATGGGGAAAATGTACTAAAATCTGACAATTCAAAAATCATAACTCGAGTACGACAAACTGGAAAATTCAAAAAATTAAAATGGACATTACTTTCATCAATCTTCACAATAAGGTAAAATTTGGAGGTAATCAATCCAGGGATACTAGAGCTAGTGCACGATTTGTGAAAAATAGCTTTAAATGTAACAGTTAAAGTTTGGTAGCTTTGGAACGACACATCGGGAAATTAAAAAAATCACGAGGGAGCTTTCTTTCGTCAATCCTCACAATAATGTGAACTTTGGATGACATCAATTAGGATACTGGAGTTAGTGCGCAATTTGTTTAAAACTGCCTTAAATCTAAGAGACATAGTTCTCTAACTCTGGAATGACAAAAACAAAATATGTGTAAAGGGGAACTTTATTCTGTCAATTCTAATGTTACGTTAAAGTTATATTAGAATAAGATAAAATCGACTTTGAGTATTCGTACAAAGTGTTGACGGACCGACGAATGGACGGACGGACGGACGGATGGGCGGACGGACATTGGTTTACCATATAACGTTCCGTCTTTGACGGGCGTATGAAAATTGTTGAATCGGGAAAAAATCTGATAAACACATTTTTTTATTGTTATTTAAATAAATGTATAAATATTGTGATATTCGAATATCATACTTTGAATCTAATTTTAAAATGAATAAAAGGGTAAATAATACGCTTATTTCAAGAATAAGAAAAAAAACCAAGTACTAACAAAGCAGTTTGTGTCCTTATCGGCCTACAAAGCAGCCAACAATGTAGTGGTGGTATGACCTAAATTCTACAAGGAAGTTAAGAATGAAATAATAAATTCTCCTATATTTAGGTCCGTGCACTTCAAAAAGAGTCATTAAGTAAACAATAATATCATTACCACATCTCAGCTAAGGACTTATCTGGACATTTGAAGGTCCCTTACTACGTATTGGTTACTTAAATTACACAAAAAAACCTGAACATTCTACAACTAGTCTTTTAGTGCTTTTACTAGTTGCTTCACTACTATTAAAAACTTTATCATTAACTTTTGTAATAAAGCATATGAAAACAATGAAGTAATTATAACATTGAATGTTAAAACATCGTTGGATGGTTTACATAAATTACGTGCGTTTGGTTGTTCTTTTGATTTGACTGACAAGTTTGACTTTTCAACTCTTTACAGTACCCTTCCATACAATCTTTTCCTATAACAATAGTTTTCCTATTAATTTTATGGTCGCTTCGGAAATTTGATTGCAAATTTATTTGCTGCAACTCATATGTAGCCTCCTTCTCTAATGAGAAATGAGAAAGGTTAACATGCTATATATACTTACTGCAGGTGTGATGAGAAGATTACAGCTGTGAATCTTCTCCTTTACAACAATTATGTATGTTTCGACAATAAAGTTAGATATTCCTATGAGCAAAAATTGCATCCATTTAATAGCAGACTTGTTCCTGTGCTGTTTTGAATCTTAGGGCCAAAGTTAATAAAGACTCGTCTAAATTCCATCTTACTAATAAATTCAACAACACTTACATAATGATATTTTTTTTCGTTAAATAATCTCGAATTCTCTAAATCATGTTAATATACTGCAGAAATTACCCAAAGGAAATTACTTCAAAAGAATAAAAAAAACAGCAATAACTGTTCTTTCCTTAATTTAGAAATTACGACTGTTCGTTCCCTATTGTCAATTTTCCTTTTTTGAACGGTGATTATCCTTCTGCACAATCTTACGATGATAATATATCCTAACTCTTTCTATATGTCCGTTTTGGTAGTGACTTTTTGGATTTCAATGAACGTGATCTATGTAATACTAGTACTATTTAGTCAAATATTACCACAAATTACTTGAAACCTTTACTAAATTCTTTCATTGATACAAATTGATGGTTTGAAAGTTCGACTGTACCTTTAGAAAACTTATTACAAACGGTTAGCGCATCATACTTTTAACGATGATGTTGTTTATCTAGCCCATAAATTTAGAAACGGACCGGGTAAACCTATCGATTTTTTAAATAAACTTCATCTAAAAGCTTTCCTATTCAACACTGTAATTAGATCATTTAATATTGTTTTAATTATCGCACAGGCGTTTGTGGAGTGGATCCCCCCTTTTTTTTATTTGTGTGGTTATATTTCATTTGAAAATATTTTTTCATATTTCAACTTATATTAACTTTGTTTTACTAATTCAATGTGTTCATAGTCTTTTCAATGCGATTAAACAATATTAGTAAAAAAAAAATTCCCCTCTTTCCTTTTCTTCCACAAATTTTAATTTTCGTACATATGCTCACCTTCGGGACGTTTTCTGTCTCAAAATCTAGTTATTTTCAACAAACTTGGACTTGAATGGTATGAAAAAAGACTAACCTTTTCGCCAATGTACTTGTTTTGTAACTACGATCTCTCAGATATCCAGACTATTTAGATTTTTATCACTTGTTCGGCTCATTTTGGCCCAAGAGACAACTTTCGAGTTCGATGCATTTCCGTCAAAAACTTTGGTTTTAGTGAACACCATTCGTCCGTTTAGGGGCATATATCTTCACTTCCGTTCCAATGTTGAGCGAGTGGTTTGAAAACTATGATGCTATATTGCACGTATTGTTTGGCAAATTGAATTCTCATAATTGACCATCAGCACTGCTGTCATTAGGGAATTGTGATTAAGCACCTACAGAACAAACATTGTTTCTAGTTTAATATCCTGCACAATGACGATCACTAAGACGCTTGATGAACGTTAACAGTGCAGGGATACAGGCGATCCCCTCTATCTGGTAAATGACGTCATAAAGGCACGCATAATTGACGAGTTTTTTCCGGTGAAGGACAAACTCGAAAGTGGTCTAGTCCATTGTCACTAACGGAAGTCGATTTTTCGCAAATGTTTGAATTTTCGCGCCGTTTCTACTTGAATTCCGAATGCAATTACACTTAGGATAACATACGAAGGATTCCGAAAATTTTCCCGGACTTACTGTAAAAATAAATTCGTAGGAAAAAAAAAAGGTAAGCAATGGACGAAGATCAAAAACAAGCCTTTGATACAGCTGTGGAGGGACACAATCCATTACGGCGGACTTGGGGCTATCACATTACATAAATTTGCCGGAATATCTGGTGGCAGACATTCCAACAGAGAAATTACAGAACTGATTTCTTCTGATGAACGGTATGATGATACTAAAAAAAAAAGATAATCAAAACTGACGTTCTTATCATTGACGAGGTGTCAATGATCAGTAGCAAAGTGCTCTGTCAAGTAGAATTTTTATTTAGACATTTTAGGAAAACACAGAACTTATTTGGGAGCATGCAGGTGATTTTGGTTGGTGATTTTTACCAGCTTCCCCCTATATCAAATGAATTGTATGGTGACTTTGGACACTATTGTTTTGAGGCAAAGTTTTTCAACAGTACATTTTGTCACAAGTTGGTGCTAAATGAGGTACATAGACAGAAGGAGAGAGAACTTATTCTTGCTGTGAATAGTTTAGAAAAGGGAATTATAAATGATGATGTAGTTGCGTTTTTACAATCTCTTTCTCGGTCACTTCCTCAAAACATTTCTGAAGAAGCTTTTCCATTTATTTGCCAGAAATTTAGATTCAGATGTTTTTATCCAAGCTACGACAACTTCCTGGGGAAATGACAACATTTGCATGTAAAGAAGAAGGTGATCATCATTTTTTAAATAGAATTTTAGCATCAAAGCATCTAGGATTGAATCCATTGTGTAATGTAATGCTGATATTAAATTTATCCGACACTCTAGTGAATGGTTTAATAGGCACTTTAAGTAATATTAAATCTGACTCAGTTGATGTAGATTTTGCTGTAGATGGTAAAACTGTTACTATTAATGTTGTAAAGCATACTTTTTCAACATATGATCATGTGAAAAAGAAAATATTGGCAAAAAGGGAACAGCTTCAATTGAAGCTAAGTTATGGGATAACAATTCACAAGTCCCAAGGAATGAGTTTGAATTCGGTTATTGTTCATTGCGAGCTTATAAGCTTCCCAGGACAGTTAGGGGTAGCTATAGAGAGAGCTACAAATGTAAGTGGACTTCACGTGATTGGTTTTAAGAAACACCACTGCAAGCCACAACCTAGCAAAGTAAGCAGATTCAATGATATTTTAAACACTGCATTTTTGGTAGACTCATGTCGTCATGTTCAATTTGATTTTGGTGTTGTTGACAATAGTGATACATGTAAGAGTGACAGTCACAGTGACAAAAATGACAGTGAGTGTGACACAAATGAAATTATGGGGGGTTTGATAATAAACTACAAAGACTCCTTATTTTCTAATAATGATGAAGATCTAGTACAATTGATAGATGACATGTTGTATTACAGTCATGACAGTGTTCCAAAAAACATTAAAGATGAAATTGTTAGTAGTTCATTGAAAGAATTTGCTGATACACCAGTGGAAAATGGCATGGACATATTATTTAAGAATAATATTATACCTTTTAATGAGTGGTTTACGAAACAACATACATGTATAAAAGACATGGCTAGTTTTGTTTTTAAAGGATCAGAAAACATAACAAATAAACAAATAAATGCACTCTACACTCAGTTCAACAGGTACTAAAGAGGTGAATAGTTCATCAGTTCTGTTTCCAATCTACTTTCACAGTACTATGGAATGAGGCAAAATTTAACAACAGAGAGGAAGTTCCTAACAAGTGTAATGTTCAACATCCAAAAAAAGCATCTCCATGATTTGTCAACCCAGGTGACTTGTAAAGAAACGCATCAGTTAGGGACACTGCCAGAGGAAATTTTACCTGCTGGCAGAGGTAAAATCAGATATGTAGGAAGATATGTGATTGCCAAACTAAAGTACAATGCTTCCAAATCATCTATCCAATGAAAATAAGGTACAAGAAATTAAGATCTTGAAAACTGAAATAAAACTTCTTGAAAGTGAGTGTATATCAGAGGCAGAAATTTCCTCAATAACCACTGATTCAGAAAGTCTTGATGAAACAAAGCGAAAACAAAGTTTGGTGAATATTACAGATCCCGTGTACAATTTCTTTGTCTTATTGGACAAAAAATGAAAACTATGAGAACTTGGTACTGTACAAAGACAACCTGTTTCATGCTCTTGGTGAATATATATTAAATAACACTGACATACTGGAATCCTGGGTGAATTTATTTACAAATGTTGACACAGACTTTGAATTAAATGTAAATTACTTCAGCAGTACATGGGACATTGTAAATGATATTAGCAAAGACATTGTGTATAATTTTGATTCAATTCTCATATTAATGCCAAAGGTGTGTGACTTGTTCATGAAAGTCTGCATAAGCAAATTTAGAAAGGACTATCTGTCATATTTGAAGAAAGAAAAAGGTGTTGCACTGAGAAAGTTATGCAAAAGTCATTAAAATCAGTTAAAAAATGGATATGAAATTTATAATTGATGATAATTCCTCAGATACGTCTGCCAGTCATTTCAGACTAAAGTCAGAACTAGTAACACAAGAAAGCATATTCAAAGACAGTACTTTTACAAAAGCACAACTACAACCCTTAGGAAAGGCATATGGTGTAACTCTTTTATCAAAACTGAAGAAAGAAGATATGACAAAAGAACTAGCTAGTGCAGAAAATCAAGCACAATGCGTGCAATTTCCAAATGAACTGATAATATCCTCTACATCAGTAGGGTCGTCATCAGAACCTATTCCATCAACCTCTAGCCTCACATATGAATCGTCAGAGAGTAATGTAGAAGACATAACTAACAAACGTTCAAGAAAACCTACCAACAGTGGAAAAGGAATACCTCTTCACTCAAATCCTCAATCATCAGTTTTGACATCAGATTCTCTTAACCCATCAATAAGTGTGTCTGAAGTGACAGAATCAAGTGCACTTAGGGAAAAAGGTGGAAAAGGAAAAAGTACCGGTAACAAAGGTAAGGGTGCTGGCAAGAAAAAAAGACAATTCACCAAAAGCAAGAAATCATTTAAAGATATTGATGATTGTTGCAGTATTTGTAGTAGACAATATATTAAAGGAAGGGGTGAGGACTGGATTTTGTGTGACACATGCGAGTCACGGTTTGACAGGCATTGTGCAGGATTGGAACTTGATGAGCTGTGGAATCGTTACACTACAGCAGATTGATTGCCCTCTTTGCAAGAAAGGCAAGTACATGTAAATATATAGAAACATTTAATAAAATTATACATCATTATATTATTTACATCTTCAAATTTATATGTTCAATTTGTTAAAACAATCATCACACACACAGACCTGTGGCTACATGCACAAATTATTGTTAATGATGCAGCAACCCAGGCATGAGAGAATAGTATTGAATTTTCTGATGCAATGGTGTATATAACTATAATTGGGTAGGGGAGTGTAAGGGACCCCCTTATCTGGAATTAAAAAAAAAATACTGGGATTTTTGGGCAAAATTTGGTCCCCGCTCCTTTTTGGAAAGTCTGGAACGGCCTCTGAACTACAACTATATCTGTATGCAGTTTACTTAATAACTTCATTATATGTAACTATAAAAAAAAAATTCTAATTAAAAACAAAAAAAATCTAAATCCATGATATTATTATAAACACAAACAAATGTGGCATGATTGCCAATGAGACAACTCTCCATCCAAGGCCTAAAGTAGTAAATATAAGCAATTAGTTTTTGAGTTTGTTTAATGTTGCATTTATATATCTACATATCAAATAATCTTTTGATTAAAAGAAATAATAATCAAAAGATCTGTCCTTAAATCCATATCAGATATGGTATATATTATGTACATTAAATTACAACTTTTTATGTCTAAACCATTATGCAAGACACATAGTAATTTATAAAATATGTCGGGTAAATAGCAATTATTTCATATTTCATCAATATAAATTTCATATTGTACCATGTGCCATGTGCTTTCAACAAACAATGTTGTCTATTAATATATCAATTTTGTATTTCTAATGAACAACTGTTTTACATGAGACTTGAATCCTATGATATTTGTATTGCCATGTTTCAGAAAAAAAAATTGAGATGTCAAGGGCTACAACAATAATACCACTTGTTTAACACAAGAATAATATCATACAACAGCCGTAAGCTTAAAGATATGAAAAGACAAACAACGTCCACAAGAACACCTCATTAAAATGGTGGAGTATTGTCTCATTGGCAATCATACCACATCTTCTTATGCTTATATAAAATAGTCAACAAAAAACATAAAAATATTTGCACTCCAAACAGAAAAGCAGTTCATGATCATCATATCAAGTTTTCTCTACTACAGTGTAGTTTTTTCATATCTCATGATATTTCATGTTTGTCCATTGTATGCATGAAATATTTGCCACTGAACATAACGTAAAACAACATATAATTGAATGCATGCACACTAAAGGGTTTGTCTCTCGCCAATTATCTAGTTTCATATTTTATAGTGTTATTGAGACCATGCTGTCAATATTATGAAATCTTCTCTATTGTTCATCTCATATGTGCTTGGGGTACAGTTAAATTAACAAGAGTGGACACAGACCAGCGTGGATAGTATTTAGCATTCTGAGAGTATTGCATAGAGAACTGTGAGTCAGCTCACTAAAGGATACCCCTACAACCCATATTTAATAAACTAAATTAATTCAATTATCTCCCTTGAAATATTTCAGACCAGAATTATTTTCCTTCATGCATATTCCCAGGTTGTGTACTGCAACTGTGTAAAGTTTCATCAGTATCGGTCAATTCGTTATATTAAAGGAGTCGTTGCGCTTACAAGACATATGGACAGACGGACGGACGGACGGACAGGGTGATTCCTATATACCCCCCCCCCCCCCCCCAAAAAAAATCTTTGTTTGTGGGGCTATAATTATATTGATACTACATATACCTGTACCACAGAAAATAATAAAAGGGCTTTACAAAGATTCCTGTGATCCTTATGGGTGTCTACTGTACTTCTTTTAATTTAAAAAAAAAGATACAACCTGATTTACATAATGCATTTATTATTTATTGTAGGAATGTAATATTTGAGATGATGTTTAACAGGAAGACGCTGTCTATAGCTTTATTTACAATTGTGTGTTTCAAATTAATGTCGTTGTTTTTTGGACTGATTCAAAGGATTCTTAGTGTGGTAGCTGAAAGGATCAGCACTATAACCTCCAGTATTGGATTTTCTTGATATGGTAATTTCACCAAGAATCACTGAATTCATGGTGTTGCAGTACCCTAAATATGTTGGATTGGTGCAAGCACCATTATGAATTGACCGTTCTTGACAGAAAATGTTTTAAATAGGATCTCTGTTGATTCGACTTAGGATATATGATAGAAGAGCCACTATATCTGGTAAGTTTGTTAATACAAAAATGCGTAAACCCAATTATCAGTGATGATATATCCTGCCTTGTTTGATGCGATATAAGACATTTCTCTTTATTAGATAACTTATTATCCTTGATCACAGATGTTTCCCACTCTTTAAAGAAATGCAACCCATCATCATTAACTTTCAGTCTGTCATCAGATATGTCAGTTAAAGGTCGACAGTCTCTGAAGTTTTTTTATTAGTTGACTTGTATTTTTCAAAAGTTCTACTGAGCTATCTAATTTATTACCATTTGTCCCCAAACTTTTCTGATACTGGATCAATAAATTAAGCATATTTGAATCTAGAACTTCCTCTGCTAGTTTGTTTCGCATGTTTGCTTCACTTGTCAAAAACATGTGGTCTTTTTTAAGCTTCCAGTGTACAGGGAATAGGTTACTTGATATGTCCCAAAATAAGGCTTTTCTCCAGTTATCCCAATGAATTCTTTTATCCTTCCAAAGCATATTTCTTTTATCATAATTGTTTAATACACTTTTGTAGATATTGTTCCGTATTTTTTTCATTGCGTGTGAGAAGTCCATAATTACAGATATTTCAGGATCAAAAACATTAGAAATTGTAAAAGTTTCTGTTTCAGCCTTACCAAATAATGTGTTCATGAAGTCTCTATTAGACTGTGCACCATCCATACTTAAAAATGTTACTTTAAAACCAAACAAAGAAAGCATATTAACTGCTTTCCAAAAAGTAAGGTAAAGTTCATATGCTGGTGCTCCTGTAGTTGCAAAATGAGCAAAAGGAAAACGAAAACCAGTTACCCCTGTAATGCACGTGTCGCTAAATTGTCATTGTCTTTATGAGTCCTCAGTGTTTGCATATATTTGGACTCCTCAGTAACATCAGTAAAACCTATTATTCTCATACCACCACCTTTCTTAGAAAACTGTAAGTCACTTTCAAAACTCATTTTATCCAGTAGAATACCCCCTTCATATCCCTGAAGGGGTATATTTATATTTTTTTTCTCATTCAACATCCAGGATAACATTTCTTTATTAACCCCTGATACTTGATTAACTGAATTTTTAAAATATTGTAGGAGTCTGGAAGAAGGCAAAACAACTAATCCACTAGCTCTCAAGTCTGCATAACCTCTAGGACTTCGACACCAGAGCGACAAGCATATTCTTAGAATATCCTTGTTCCACCTTCTTCCTTTAGGATGTGACTCAGCTGCTTTCTGTTGTGAAACCAGGAACACTTTTAGACGCTTTTGACATTCAGATATGACTTTATTTAAAATTTCAACAAAATCGGAATGATCTTCTGGTGTTAATATAATATAATGTTCATTATCCTTTTCCTTAACATTTTTTTCAATTTTATGGGGGATCTTTAGAAGATTACATTTGTAGCATTTTGTATTTTTACATGTAAATGGGAGACCAATAGCACATAGCTTAGAACGCAATTTTCTAATATCAGAATTTCCATCATTTCTTTTGCTTTTGACCAAATTTCAACAAGTATTTTATTATTATGTTTTCCTAAAATGTTCTCATTTATTCAATTACAGTACTGGAACTAGTGAACAATAGTTATAACACTATTTATACCTTGCTCACTGAGCTCATATACTGGTGCAATCCCCAATTTTATTACATTTATCTTCTGTCCAAAGATTGTGACAGACCATGTTTTATCAACATGAAAACTTATTTCAGCTATTATTCTGTTTCCATTAATTAGATCTCCTGTAAAGTGACCAACTTTGATACATGACTCAGTTCTTTCAATTGGGAAAACTCCTTTGGCAGTGTTTTCAATGTCTTGAAAGGCGCATATGTTAGTTTTTTATGCAATCTTTCCATTTTACCCCTTGATACAATGTTGTTATCTTTTTCCAATCAAGTTTTGATCGCCCAGCCTTAAATTTAACATTTGGAAATAACCTTCTTAAAACATTTCTGACACTTTTTTTGTCAATGTCTTTTGAATCATTTTTCAATTTAGATGAGAGCTCTTCAAATTGTATTTGACCAGAAGTA